ATTTGTGTGTGCACGGATCCATCTCTAACTCTACTTATTTTCTAAATTTGAAATTGAAAAACGGAAGGATTTTGGCAGCATTCTTTTTTCTCATTTTCTCATTTCTCGAGCTAGCTGGTGACTTTTCTCTCTGACTAGTAAAACATCTGATCTTCTACCTTCAGCATCGCCAAGAACTTTACACGTTGGATAAACACATTTTAATTCTGTCTTTTGCATATTTTTCTGAATCATGTCCCAACATCTCTCTTCAGCAAAAGTCGTTATTGACCTCCAACCAATATCTCTTCAGCAGTGCAAACATTTTCCAATCTAATTCACCTTTATCAATCTGTACCATTCTTATTAAAACCATATATTTTTACCTATTTACTACAGTTTAGTTGGTAATTATTGCTTCTATTCCAAATCTCCTTTTGTCTACTTCCAAGAGTCTTTTCTAATGATTTTTGTCCCAGGGCCCTACTTTCATCACCCCATTTACTGCCCCTCCTTTTTCTTCTTCTGCTTACCTTACCAAATATATTTTGTGTCTGTTTTTCCTACCAGCAAAAGCTAACATAAATTAGCATCAAACTTTGGTTTGAGTCTCTTCATTGATGGCTAGATGCATATAGGATGAGCCATCAAAAGCCATGAAAATTGCAGTTGTGTCCATTCCCTCCCCTTTCTTCTGTAGCAACTTTGGGGATGGCACTGAAAACTCAATTCTAGACATTTTCTGGAGAAAATGCTATCTCAAACATCGATCAACCTTGTTGACAATATTTCGGAATGAACCTATGCCCAGAATTTTGTAAAGGAGAAATAAGAATTACTAACAGATGGTTAGGATGTATTTGTTTCAACTACTTGTCCACACTTGGGGGAAGAATTCTGATCCAATATTTTCCCAGACACAAATTTGTGAAATTATTTAGAACTGTGCTTGTTTTTGTGAAATGTGTGAGAAAGCTGGGTACTTGCATATTTCTTTTTCTGGAAAATATTTTGCATATTCAAGAAAACAAAACAACCCAGAAAAGAAAACTCCAGGACTCCCCCCGCCCCCTTCCAATATATGCTTTTCTTCCTGAAACAATCATTTCTCCATGTGTAGATTTATGGACAAGCTTAATATGACAATATTTTAGGGAAAAGATAATGTCTAACATTTCCACAGTATTAATCAATCCCAACTAAACGTTTAGACATTCATGTCAGGTTTCCAAGTGATGAAATCCATTTAAAAAGAAAAGTACAAAGTCCATCTTCAAAAAAGATTTCTTTTATTTAAGAAAGCATCAAGTTGGCAAAGTCCATGGTAATTCAGATCTGACACAACCGGGAATTACCCCACAATATTACAAGTTAGAAACAACCCCGAAAAGTCAGATTCTCCAATAGAAGTAATTCAACGTTGCTTGATGTCATAAATCTCCACCTCAAGGGACCCAAACAAGGACAGCTTGTTTCCCATGGGAAGGAAGATCACCTAGCCAAAACACTCTCTTTATCTCCACTCCTCCCCCCTTAGGAATGTGGCAAACCCGAAATCCTTCCCCCCATGAGTGCCACAGAGAAAGTAAGAAAAAGAATATATATTACACCTAACTAAAATGGCTACACATATGTCAATACCTGGCTTGACAATTCAGTTATGCACACACAGGGCTAAATGCATGCATTCACATCCTATACCCAGTGTCTTCAAGTTTGTGGCACTTTGCAAAAAAATTTGTTTATTGCAGAGATTTGAAAGGCAGTTGTAAGGATGTCTGCCCTAGCAGAAACCAGGTCTCATTGTCTTATCTTTTGAGCTCTTTATACTAAACTTTGAAAAATATTTGTAACAAACTGTGTTTGTAGAACGATTGGGCAGCATGTATGCCTATCTCTCCCAAATCTGTTTACTCCTTTGTATAACCAGGCAAATGCTTATACAGTTTTCAATTTCCTGGTCATTAGCATTTTGTTTTAAAATTTTTCCCACTTATTTGTTGTAAGAGCATTTTCCCATTGTGGCCATTTATTTAGAATTCTATCATTTTCATCTCCTACACACAGAGAGAATTTCTAGCATTTTGTGTTCTCCCAACTGCCCAAACTCTTTTTACGCTAGTTTTTTTTCTTGATGGTCCTTCTATACCTATCCATCTGACCAGATACATTTTGACACCAAGGGTATTTCATCATGTTCTGAAAAATGCTAACTATTGATAATACTAATAGCTGTTTAATCCTATGCAGAGTTACACATGGGTGAATGTATTGATTTCCATGGATTTAGACATCTTAACAGAGGGATTGGACTCTCTTTCTGAAGTATAGGTTGATTTAATTATGATGTTCTTCATGTGAAATAGCAGTAGATAATTTTATTGTGGAACATAGCTCAAAATTGCATATTATACTGTGTGATTTGGCTGTCAATCTCCTGCACTGATGTCATCCATGCATGATTCTGGCATTGAGACCATTAGTTTTATCAAGAAAAAAAAAGCAATGTAAAAGTTGGAGAAATATGACTGACTGAGATTTCTAACTGTTAGTCTGTTTTAAAGCCTGAATTCTTTAGGGTTCAGACAGACCTTAATAAAATATTATTTTATTCATCTTTTTGTGTGCTTGTTCTTCCATCATTCTTGCCAGAGTGCTGTCCTATGGGGAGAGAAAAAATCCCAATTCCCTTGTGTTTTATAAATAATCTCTGGATTTTGACAATAGAGATTTGAGACATTGCAATGCTTTGTACAAAATTAGTGTCCTGAATTCAAGGTCTGAAGCCCGGCCTCCACAGATCTTCAAAAGAACAAAAGTTTGAAATACTACCGTGTTTCTCATATAATAAGGCCGGGTCTTATTTTTTTTTGAGCCCTGAAAAAATGGCTAGGCCGTCTTTTTGGGGGTGACTTAATTTCCCCCCCCCCCTTGCATCTTCGGGCGGGCGGGCGGCGACGGCTTGGATGTTGACCTCGGCGTTGGTGGGGCATTTTGTATCAGGGTCAACGAAGGCAGCACCATATCCGGGTGTGCAACAAAAGAACTTCCTAACGGCAAGCCCCCCCACCATTCCCCCCCCCATTTCGCATGTTCTAATATAGGGCTTAATTTGGGGGGAGGGGCTTAATTTCATTTCATGCCTATAAAACATGCTGGGACTTCCTATTGGGGGAGGCCATATTGTTGGAGAAACAGGGTATATATAAAGTGGAAGGCAATGATTATTTTTAATGAAGTTAAATTTAATGGAAATAAAATCATGCTCAGTTTTTGTCATGATGCACCACACTATTTTCTTTTAACCCAGCTCACTTTTTGAAAATCAAATACTATTCTCAGACCAGAAAAAGGGGTTCATGAATCTAGATTATATATGTAGCACCAAACCAACAATAAAAAAGAGTCCATTCATTAAACTGACTTCTCAAATTTTTACCTGAATAATCCTGTTTGTGCTGTGAGTTTTTATTATATACATTTCAATTTATATGCCTAGGTTCCAAGGTCCAACATGCTAAGTATTAGGAATTCCATATCTTTTGAAACATTCACTATCTTTGATTCTGAGTATTTCTATGGGAGACAAGACCTGTTCAAAGATGTTTTTTCCCACTGAGAAGCTTTTGACTATCCAGAATCACAATGGTCAAGAAAGTATGATTTCTGGAATTATTTCCAGTTGTCTTACTGTCCATGGTCCTAAGAGACATCTATATTTTCTTCTGTTTCATGAAGAAATATGTTACAACTGCACCATCTTGTCCACGTATATTTATACATATAATAGTGTGTGTTGCGTAAGCACTTATATGTTGCTTCTGGAAAAGAGTGTAACTAGATGGATGAATATGTTACCGTTCATGTATGTTTCTGCTCCCATCTCATGTCTCTATGTGTATCCTGGGAAAGATGGACAGCCAGCAGGTGGTCTTTTTTGGGTGACATGATTGATGAGGGAGGGGAGATTTAGAATGGAGCAGTTGGCAGCATTATGAATGATGGTGCAAGAACTTTCTCATTGGCTCATTTTTAAATTCGGTGTTTTGCTTGGCATGCTTCCCTCACAAATTGGGTCTTTTCCTTGGGGAGAGCTATTCTACTGATAGGCAAAGGCCCAAACCTCTTTAGATGTTTTGTTTTGCCCCTGGGTTGGAGAGAATAAATGATGCCAATTTTATTATATCTTGTGGATATATCTTGTGGCCAGGTAACATGGGCAGCTGATAATTTTGCAGACAAAACTTTGGGTTATTCCCTTTCATTCACGGCCTTATGTGAGATTGAGATAAAGAGAGATATAACAATGCCTGGAAAATAAAAAGGCACCTTCCTTTCACCTTCTTTTTTCTATGGCTTAATGGCGATATTTGCTCTCGTTTCTTCATTACCGTGGTTACTTGCACTCTGTAACACTGAAAAGTGGCATTAAACAATCCACATACAATTCAGCACAAAACACTATTAGATAATAGTTGATACATCATCTGGTGCATTTCAAACAACAATAGTAGGATTAGGAGTAATAATTATATTTGTTTGTTTATTTATTTGCTGTCCATCTCACCAGAGGCAACTGTAGACTGTTTATAACTGAGGTAAACAGAGGTGGCAAGATGCGGAGCAAAATACACATGGACAGTGATAGAATCCTATCTCACCACATTATCCATCTCCAGTATAAAATGCCTCTATCGGGGCCTCAGGCCAACTGGCAGAGCCAGGTCCTCAGGCCCTTATAAGGTCAAAAGGGTGAGTGTGGATGGCACCTCAAGGGGCATGATGTCCCATAGGGCAGGCTGCAGCAGAAAAAGATCTGGACCCCACCAGCTGGACTTTCTCGATCAACAAGATCCACTGCATGCCCCTTATGGTGGCACAGATGGGACCCAATTCCATTGGGATGAGACAGTTTATCAAGTAATCTGGAGGGTTACCTTTCCATGTATACAATGGGTATTATATTCTACTTGCTTAAAGACCATGTGTATATTACCATCTTTTATTTCCTTTTCTTTCAGAGGTGTCTATGGTCATTTCAGTGGTAAACGTCCTTGGGCCTTAGGAGACGAGTGCATTGTTGAGCTTATGGCTGAGATTGTGGGTAAGAAAAAACCACTTGAAATACTTTTTTTCTTCAACTTTATATCACAAAACTTTTCTTTGTGGATGTTTCTGGCCTTTTTTCCTGCTCTGATTGCTTTTTGCTAAGCATGTGAAGTTAACACTGTATTTTAAAATGGTGAGGTGCAAAGATTTAATGCAGACAACACTATATGAGCAAATGTATGTCACTATGCTAATTGGAGTCTAGATTCTGGGATCACCATGAAGCACTTGCTCTAAAGGAAACTTGGCATCCCTACAAATGTATATTCATATCACAGTGAATCAATTATCATTCCTTTTGTTTACAAAGCAATGGTTGCCTGTTACATGATAATGTCTTTTACTGCTTCAAGAGAATCAAATGCTTAATAGGGTAGAATATGATCTTTAAATGATTCAGAGATCACTTACAGGCAAAGAAAGGATCTGGGCAGTAAATTGTTACTTGCAGAAGTCACTCCCAAAAGTGCTTTTTCAAGAGGCAACTGGACTTTCTGGGTTTTTTTGAAGACATTTCACTCCTCATCCAAGCTAGTCATTAAGGTCACCTGGAGGTTTATCTGTGTCGTCAAGGTCACTTGAGTAGTGCAAATGGGTGTGGAACCTTCTTGGAGGTGATCTTAATGACCCTCTAAAAGGATGCCAATGACCAGCTGTCTGCAAGAAGTATAAATTCTTCCATTCCCCACCATCCAGTCAGAACTGAAGAAGCTTCTTAGATGAGAAGCAAAATGTCTTCAAAGAAAAACCAGAAAGTCCAGTTGCCTCCTGAAAAAGCACCTTTGGGACAACTATGATCTGGATGACAAAGAATCTCCATAGACATTTTGCAGAAGTCAGTATACAGATAATCAGAGATACATATAATCAGAGTTGGAAGGGACCTTGTAGGTCATCTAGTCCAACCCCCCGCCCAAGCGAGAGACCTCACACCATTTCTGACAAATGGCAGTCCAATCTCTTCTTGAAAGTCTCAAGTGATGGCACTCCCACAGCTTCTGAGGGCAAGCTGTTCCATTGGTTAATTGTTCTCACTGTCAGAAAGTTTCTCCTTATTTCCAGGTTAAATCTCTCCTTGTCCAGTTTCCTTTTTTAAAAACAAAAATTTTATTAAGTTTCCAAATTTAAAAAAAACATAAAACAAAATTTTATACATTGTTATTAACATCAAGCCATTTTTTGCCTTTCCTCATATTTTTCAGTATATGTATTTACTTATTCCTTTACCATTGCATCTTACTCTTACTATAAATCAATATCTTTTATCCTTACATCTCAATCTTCTCCATGGTATATTTACATATTCCCTCATTCTTTTCCTAATTGCCATTTTATTTTATTTTTATTTCTAAACCACTCATCCCAGGCATCCCAGGCCCTATAATAAATTGAATCTTCTCTGTCTTTTATTTTCATCGTTAGCCTGTCCATCTCTATACAATCTATTATTTTTTTTATAACCATGCCTTCTCGTGGAACCCTTTTTTCCTTCCAGAGTTGTGCGTACGAAATCCTTGCAGCTGTTAATATATGTATATTATAATATATCTTATCTGTTTGATTGCATTTTTGTGTTATTGTACCTAATAAAAAAGTTTCTGGATTAAATTCAATTTTCTGATTCATGATTTCTTCTATCCATTGTCTAATTGTATTCCAATATTTTTTCACTTCCTGGCATGTCCACCAGGTATGAAAACAAGTGCCTTTTTCTATTCCACATTTCCAACAATTTGGGTCTGAGTTAAACATTTTTGCCAATCTAGCGGGAGGAAGGTGCCACCTGTAGAACATTTTGTATTGATTTTCCTTGTATGCTGTGGATGTAATTAGTTTGTAATTCTCTCCCAATTTTCCAGGTCTATATTATGGCCAACATTTTTCGCCCATACCACCATCATCTCTTTGACCACCTCCTCTTCCATTTTAGAATCTAGTAGAAAGTTATATATTCTTGAAATCATTTTCTTTTCCATTTCTTGTAGAATTTTATCTAATTGATGTTTTTTCATACAGAAACCAAATTGTTCTTTGTCCTTCTGATATCTCGCCTGAATTTGCATGTATGGCCACCAATCTTATCTTTATATTTTGTTGCTGTAATTCTTGTCTCATTTTTAATCTTCCTTGTGTGTCTAATAAGTCTTTATAAGTCCTCTTTTTTCCCAGATTCATTGCATTTGGGTAGATTTGTGCTTCCATAGTGACAGCTAGTTCGGTATTTGTTCAGTTTCCATCCATTATTCCTTATCTGGCCTTCAGGTGTTTTGGAAAATAGCTTGACCCCCTTCCTCTCTGTGGCAGCCTCTCAAATATTGGAAGACTGCTATTATGTCTCCCCTGGTCCTTCTCTTCACTAGACTAGCCAAGCCCAGTTCCTGCAACCGTTCGTTGTATGTTTTAGCCTCTAGCCCCCTAATCATCCTGGTTGCTCTTCTCTGTACTTTTTCTAGAATCTCAACATCTTTTTTATAATGTGGTGAACAAAACTGGATGCAGTACTCTAGGTGTGGTCTTACTAAGGCTTTATAGAGTGGTATTAGTACTTCCCTTGATCTTGATTGTATCTCTCTGTTAATACAACTTAGGACTGCATTAGCTTTTTTGGCTGCTGCTGCACACTGCTGACTCATATTTAGCTGGTTGTCCACTAAGACTCCAAGATCCCTCTCACAGTTACTGCTATTGAGCCTGGTTTCACCCAGTCTACATGTGTACTTTTAGTTTTTCTTGCCTAAGTGTAGGACTTTACTTTTCTGTACATTGAATTTCATTTTGTTAGAAACAGCCCAGTGTTCTAGTCTGCCAAGATCCATCTGGATCTTGAGCCTATCTTCTTGGGTGTTAGCTATTCCTGCCAGCTTAGTATCATCTGCAAATTTGGTAAGTTCCCCTTCTATTCTCTCATCTAAGTCTTTAATGAAGATATTGAAGAGTACTGGGCCTAAGACGGAACCTTGTGGCACCGCACTGCTTACTTCCCTCCATGTAGACTTAGACCCATTAAGGACTACTCGTTGAGTACAGTTTGCCAGCCAATTGTGAGTCCGTCTAGTGATGGTGCTATCTAGTATTGAGTCTAGGAGATACGCAATCAGTTCTTAATACTAGTCACGAAAGCAATAGATATCCTATTCAGGTGAAGGAATGACACTGAACAGTTCTAGCATAAATTATTGAACTGTGAGTGACATGAAAATGTATTATCTCTACAAATGTATTTTTATTATGAATGTGGATAATAATTATAATGTTTGTAAAGTCTACTGTTTTGTCAATTAAATTTTGTATGAAGGTGTTAGATGTCTTTCATAAGTTAAAGAAAATGTTCTTCTTTCAAGAGAGGCTGGGATATTTCTAAAATCAGCCTTGCTATATATTAGTGAAATATGTCTGCTTTACTGAGTTAAGCACTGAACTTCCAAAACTTTTTACTTGGGAAAACCCTGGATAAACTGAAGGGCACATTTTCCAAAATAAGAGCTGAATTTTTTTTTCCTATTCCTTTCCATAAGTATGCTTTTATACACATTGTAAGATGGGCATACCTGAACAAATAGAAAAAGAATGTTATTTTAGAGTTTTTTTCTCTCTCTTGGTAGTCGTTTGAAATCACTGGCTGTCATATAGCAATAATTTAAAGACTTAAGCAACAGAAGAAAATATGTAATTCCAAATAATCATGGAAACATCCTTGATTAATTTTAGTTGCCTACCACATTTCTTCTATATTTAATATACACATATTAATACACTGCTCAAAAAAATAAAGGGAACACTTAAACAACACAATGTAACTCCAAGTCAATCACACTTCTGTGAAATCAAACTGTCCACTTAGGTAGCAACATTGATTGACAATCAATTTCACATGCTGTTGTGCAAATGGAATAGACAACAGGTAGAAAGCATAGGCATTTAGCAAGACATTCCCAATAAAGGAATGGTTCTTCAGGTGGTGACCACAGACCACTTCTCAGTTCCTATGCTTTCTGGCTGATGGTTTGGTCACTTTTGAATGCTGGCGGTGCTTTCACTCTAGTGGTAGCATGAGACGGAGTCTACAACCCACACAAGTGGCTCAGGTAGTGCAGCTCATCCAGGATGGCACATCAGTGTGAGCTGTGGCAAGAAGGTTTGCTGTGTCTGTCAGCGTAGTGTTCAGAGCATGGAGGTGCTACCAGGAGACAGGCCAGTACATCAGGAGACGTGGAGGAGGCCATAGGAGGGCAACAACCCAGCATCAGGACCGCTACCTCTACCTTTGTGCTAGGAGGGACAGGAGGAGCACTGCCAGAGCCCTTCAAACTGACCATGTGCATGTGGCTGCTCAAACAGTCAGAAACAGACTCCATGAGGGTGGTATGAGGGCCCAACGTCCACAGGTGGGGTTTGTGCTTACAGCCCAACACCGTGCAAGACGTTTGGCATTTGCCAGAGAACACCAAGATTGGCAAATTCGCCACTGGTGCCCTGTGCTCTTCACAGATGAAAGCAGGTTCACACTGAGCAGACGTGACATAGTCTGGAGATGCCGTGGAGAACATTCTGCTCCCTGCAACATCCTCCAGCATGACCGGTTTGGCAGTGGGTCAGTAATGGTGTGGGGTGGCATTTCTTTAGGGGGTTGCACAGCCCTCCATTTGCTCGCCAGAGGTAGCCTGACTGCCATTAGGTACCAAGATGACATCCTCAGACCCCTTGTGAGACCATATGCTGGTGCGGTTGGCCCTGGGTTCTTCCTAATGCAAGACAATGCTAGACCTCATGTGGCTGGAGTGTGTCAGCAGTTCCTGCAAGATGAAGGCATTGATGCTATGGACTGGCCCGCCCATTCCCCAGACCTGAATCCAATTGAGCACATCTGGGACATCATGTTTCGCTCCATCCACCAATGCCACATTGTACCACAGACTGTCCAGGAGTTGGGGGATGCTTTAGTCCAGGTGTGGGAGGAGATCCCTCAGGAGACCATCCGCCACGTCATCAGGAGCA